TGCAAGAGCCAAGTGATTGAGGTTTCTCTGACATACTGATGTTTCTCACCCTCTGTTCCCTCTCTCTCTAAAAAAATTAATAAAATCTTAAAAAAAAAACCTCAACAAGGGTATTAAAAAACTAAGACTAATAACCTACAGGCCAAATGGGAGAAAATCTAATCCAAGTCAACCTTAAATTCAATATTTTGACAGCACACCTTCAGGCTAAAATAAAAACAATAAATAAACACTAATATTCCAGTGAATGGATTTGTAGCAATAAGAAAACTACTTAATGCCTGTCCTAGGACTGAATAATGTGAAGTAAACACACTGTGGAAAAATGAGAGCTAGGTTTCTGTCAGAGAGGGTGCTACAATTATGAAAAGGGGAAAGGTTAGAATGAACACTGTAGAGCTAAACGGGAATGGAAGATATTATCATCAATTTATGGCTTGCACACAAAGATACAGAAACAGATATAGATGTGTTTATCTCTCTGTGTGAGCATGTATATGTCGTATATATATGCATATGTTGTTTTTATGTGTATATGGTGTGTATGCATATGTGTGTGTGTATATATAAAAGGTCTACCCAGAAAAAGTCCAGCCATTGTTAATATAATGAAAATGGTTTGCATGACATTGATGTAACCTAGAAGCCAAGGAGAATAAACAGGAAAGTGCATGAGTGACCAATGATGACTACACTGCTAATCAGTGGAGGCGGTAGATGCCATTAAGTGAGCATCTGTACTGAGTGGCCATTGCATTCAAAATGACTAAGCAAGTAGAGCAATAATTCTGCATTCAGTTTTGCATTAAGCCTAATAGTACTCCACAAAAACTATTGAGATGACTCAGGAGGCTTTCTGGGATAGATGCAGTGAGTGCAGTACAAATAAAAGTGTGGCACAAATGTTTCAAAGATGGTTGAGAAGCTGTTGAAAGTGATCCACATTCTGGAAGGCCTGCAACAAACAGAACACCTGATAATATTGAACGTGTATGGGCTACCATCACCAAAGATCGGTGACAGTGCAAGAACTAAAAAATGATCTGGGGATTCCAAAAACTAGTGGGTCTGAGATTTATGATGCAGGATCTTGGCATGAAACATGTCATGGCAAAATCTGTTCTATGGCTTTTGCTACCAGAGCAGAAGGAACATTGTGCTGCAGTTGCTAACAACTTGATTCAAACTGCTACCAATGAACCAGATTACGTCAAGTAGGTCATAATTAGAGATGAATGGTGGGTCTACAGCTATTACTGGCAAACAAAGGCCCAGGAATCCCAACTGAAGTCTCCTAGTTCTCTATGCCCACAGAAGGCACAGCAAAGTCGCAGCAAGATCAAGACCATGTTAACTGTGTTTTTTGATTGGGAAGGTATTGTCCATCACAAGTACACCCATCCAGGCCACACAATTAATAAGGACTACTACCCCAATGTTCTTCTTTGATTGAATGAGGCAGTACAATGAAAATGGCTACACCTATGGGAAAGTGGGGATTGGCAGCTTCATCACACAAAACGTGCCTGCTCATACATAACATTTCACGCAGAATTTTTTTGCAAAACATCAAACCACCCAGGTGACTCAGCCCTCCTACAGCTCAGAATTTGCACCCTGAAACTTCTGGCTTTCCTAAAACTACAATCATCTTCAAAAAGAAAGAGATTCCAGACCATTGATGAGATTCAGGAAAATATGATAAGGCAGCTGATGGCAATTACAACAAAGGATTCTGCAGCGTTTTGAACAGTGGAAGAGACACTAGGAGAACTATGTGAGGTCTCAAGGTGCCTACTTTGAAGGGGACTGAAGCATCATTGTCCTATGCGCAATGTTTCTTTTATCTTGTATCTTCTTCAATAAATGTCTCTATTCTCATATTACATCACTGATACTTTCTGGACAGACCTTGTATGTATGTGTGTATGTATATATGTACAGAGAGTACACATATATGTGTGTATGTATGTGTATTATTACATATGGGAACAGAGACAAATATACATGAATATATTTCCTGGCTTTCTCTACTGGAAAAGCCTAAAAGCAGTGAGACTCTGGTAGCAAGGAGACTATCCACATCCAAATCCTGGTTTCTAAATGCCATTCTCTGTTAAAAGTAACCAGTCCTCTTTGAAGAAGTAGCTGATTTCAGGCTTGGGGCAGGAAAAAGACAAGATTGGTCTCAGGCATCTTACCAAGCCAAAAAATCAGGAAGTTCTCAAAGAATAATGGCGACTTTTAACTTTTTAATAATTTTTCAAGATATAAAAAATACATAGGTATCAATTTATTAAAGATGTATTAAGACCTGTTCACTATAGTCTAGACAAAAATGCTGAAAAGAAATTTTAAAAGAATAAGCATATGGATAGATATATTATGTTCAATGACCAGAAAACTCAGTACTGTTAAGATACCAATTTTTCTCAAATTTACCTGTAGATTCAATGTAATTACAATTAAAATCCTAATGGGCTTTCTTTTCTGTTTTTTTTTTCTTTTAGGCTTTCTTTTTAAAAAAAAAGAAACAGGTATTCCAAAATTTATGTGGAAATGCAAAGAACCTAGAGCAGTCATTGCAACACTGAAAAAGAATAAAGTTGGAGGATTTATACAACCTAATATCAACACTTATTATAAAGCTTTAGAAATTAAGATACTGTGGTATTAGCATAAAAATAAACAGATCAATGGAAGAGAGTCTAGAAATAGACAAACAATATGGTAAACTGATTGTGTACAATGGTGCCAATACAATTCAGAGGAGAAAAGATGATCTTATCAAAAAAAATGCTGCTGAAAGAGTCCGATAGTTTTAGGAAAAGAAAAAAAGAAAACTTTAGCCCTTCCTTATACCACACATAAAAATTAACTCAAAATGAACCCCATTCCTCAATATAAAGAGTCTAAACTATACAACCTTTCAAAGAAAACATAGGATAAAAACTTAGTGGTTGGCAAAGATTTCTTAAATACAACACATACATGAACTATAGAGGAATCTACTGTTCTGCATTAAAATTTAAAATGTTTGCTCTTCAAAAGACACTGACACAAAAATAAGAAGACAAGCCACAAATTGGAGGAAAAAATTTACAAAACATAAATCTGATAAATTACTTATATTCATAATACATATTCTTATAAGTCAATAATAATAATACAAAAATAAATCATTTAAAAATAGGCAAAGAGATGAACAGACACTTCATCAGAGAAAATATGTGGATGACAAATGGTATATAAATAGATGCTCAGTTAGAAAAATATTTTAAAAAACATAAACAAAAAAATAGATGCTCAGCATCATTAGTCATTAGAGAAGTGCTAATTAAAAGATGAGATACCACAAGACACCTTTCCTAAATGGCTAAAATAAAAGGTTCAACCATACCAAAATGTTGGTGAGGATGTACAGCAACTGGAACAAACTCTCATGCAATGCTGATAGGAATATAAAATGACACAACCACTTTGGAAAATAGTTTGGGACTTTCTTCAAAAAGTAAACACACATCTCACCTACCAAGCCATTCTAGCCTTAGGTACTTAACCAAGAAAACTAATGCATTAAGTCCACACAACTTGCATGTAATTGTTTTTAGCTACTTTCTTTAAAATAGCCCCAAACTGGAAACAACTGAAATGTCCTGAAGAGATGATTATAAATTGTGTATACTGACACGGGAATATTACTCAATAACAAAAAAAAAAATGCACTACTGATAAAAGCAACAACAGATGACTCTCACAGTAACTATACAGAATGAAATAAGCCAGACAAGAGTATATAAAAAAATGATTCAAATAAATATGTGCAATTTCTTGTATGTCACATAACTACAAAAAAGCTGTGGCAGGATTAAGAGCTTAAAAGAGCCCCTACTGGCTAATCTGTGACAATTTGATTATGAAAATAAATATGATGGTAATGTGTTATGACCTCTAGAATAAGGAATTCATAAGTTCATAGTGGAATTAAGTAATTAATTAACTAATTAGAATAAAATGTTCCACCCAACTAACAAATATAGAAAGAATGATGGAATTAGAAAATCATTATTTGGCAACTATCCTAGTGATAAACAATTTATGTAAGAATCAATGGATGAAAAAAACAGTGGGTGGATGTTTAATAACAAATCAGATGTTTAAAACATCAAAATACTTCTCTCACAGATCCTTATTAATTACAAAGTGAAAAGTATTTACTCTACAGAGTGAGAAACATGGTGGACACCAAATGAACCAAATGACCAAAGATAGCATTGTCAGGAATGGGTCAAATAGATACCATGTGCTCCTTGTTTCATGGCGATGAGGACCCTGTATACTTTCCCTGGTATTCCTGACAAAAATGGGGACCCTCTACAAACCCTAATTAAAAGACATTCTGTAAAATATATGCCCTAAAAATAATTTTTAAAAACATTAAAATTTTTCAAAAAAGTAAAAGGTATAAAAAATAAAGACTAATAAGCTGTTCAAAGTAAAAAGGGATGAAAAGAGGCATGACAAGTAATACAATAATGATGGTAGAGTGAATGGAATCCCTACAGTTATTATGATGACTCTAATTTTCAAGTTAATACTTTGTTTATCTAACTAGTAGTCTCTAAACTCCTTAGCTGTCACCAGTACAAAATGTGTTTGTGCCAAACCAAGTAATAAGTCAAGCTCATGTTTACCTTAAGTCCTGCTTTTCAAATTTTTTGGTATTCAAATGAGGAAATACAATTGTTGATCAATGCAACAATTAAAGGATCAATAATAAAGCAGAGAATAAAAGAGACTGAATCACAGAATCAAAAATATGAATTATCACTTACAGTATAGGTGTCCAGCTACCATAACCATAGTATCTTTCCTATCACCTATAATTCTGTAAAATCTTTTCTAATCAGTAATTAAATTCACAATAGCAATAATTTTACTAGTAGGAGCCAAATATTTTTACATTGTTTATACTTTTGTAATTTTTTTTTCCCAATTAGAAATGCCCACGTGCCTGTTGTGTGTTTGTTTAAGTGGCTCTGTATACTGTGAAGAAGTTGACATTGATGTTGTACCACCCTTGCCAAAGGAATCAGCCTATCTTTATGCACGATTCAACAAAATTAAAAAGCTGACTGCCAAAGATTTTGCGGAAATCCGTAAGTTAGTTTTAAATAAGATATTAGCATTAACTCATGTTAGTATTAAACTCATATAAACACAAGATTCTAGATACTTGTGGCTTATCACATCAAAGGTAGTCACTATTGTTCTATTTAAGTACCTACCACATTGTACAAAAACCCACTGCTTTGTTAGTGAATTTCTTTTCCATTCAGATCTCCTCTGTCACCTTTCTTCACTGGTTACTTTGGTGTCTATGTTGATAGCCCATTTAACTTATAGGCTAACTATGTCTTCTCAATCCCAATACTTCAAGATCCATTTGCCTTAGCCAGTCAGTAGCCTCAATATTATCAAGATGCTTCTCCAATTACAATGTTTTATTTTCTACCTTCAATATAAAAGCATACAGACTGTTTTTCCTTACATAACTCATGGTTCTTATATCTGGCTGCATGAATTAAAATATCTGGGGAAACATTTAAAAAAATACTAATACCAGGCAGGCACTAAGTACCCAGAGGTTCTCACTGAGTTCTGGGGAGAGGCCCAGGAATCAGTATTAAACACAACCAAACTCTTCAGATGCTTCTAATATGATTAGAACTAGTGTCCCTCCTGAGTTATATATCTTGGACTTCTGCTGTCCTATCAAACCTTACAAAACCTTGCCACTAGGGCACCTCCAAGAGCACAGCAAATTCCCCATGGATGCAGTGCCTAGTCCCAGTCCTGAATCACTAATCCTTCATATTCCCAAGTCCTATGTTGTCAAGTGCTTCTGAAGAAAATCACACTAAGAAATGTACAATCACCCCACTATACATTTATAAGATTAACTGTACTGGATTCATGCTGCCTATAGAAGCTCCCTACTGACTGAAGTACAGTTGTTCCTCATTATATGTAGGTTCCATATTTTCAAACTTACCTACTTGCTAAAATTTATTTGTAAACTCCAAATGAATATTTGCAGTACTTTCCCAGTCATTTGTAGACATATACACAGTGGCAAAAAAAAAAAATTGAGTTAACCAGTCAACGTCAAACAAGGAAACACTCTGAACTTTTCCTTCTGCTTTTATACTGTCAACAACAGTCCTTTCAGTCTACTTAGTGCCACGTTTTTCACATTTTTGTGTTTTTTGTTGTTTAAAATGGTCCCCAAGAAGAGTGCTGAAATGCTGTCTACTCTTCCTAAAGGCAAAAAGGCCGTGATGTGCATTATGTAGAAAATAGATGTTAGGTAATTTTCATTCAAGTTTGAGTTACACTGCTAATGGCTGTTGAGTTCAATGTTAACGTACCAATAATATATACTAAATAAGATGTCTTTAAAAAGAATCATGCATAAAAGTATGTACTGATTAGCTGATGAGTATAACCAGAGGCTTGAAGGAACCTATCCCTGTATGTCCCTGAGAAGTAGTGGTTACATACTTACTAATTCAATGTTTAGAGCAATTTTATACATGACTAACTCAAATAATGAGAAGTAACTATATTTCCTAATAGTTGCAGATACATAATACACACATACACATGAACTTCTAAGAGAGAAATTCACACACTGAACTAGTCTGCATCACTTTAACAATTTTTGTCTGTTGTTAAGTAATAAGTGCTAGAAAGATTAAGAGAACAGATTAAGAGCACAATGACAATGGAACAAGCCAACAAAAAATCAAAAAATAATGTACATCATTCTGTTCAATCAAATGTACACAAATGAGATTTTTAACTTCTTATTTCTGTATTTTTTTTGTATTTTTCTGTGTTTTCCCTTTAAGCTAATTTAAGAAGACTTGATTTTACGGGAAATTTGATTGAAGATATAGAAGACAGTACTTTTTCAAAACTAGCTCTGTTAGAAGAACTTACACTAGCTGAAAATCAACTACTGAAACTTCCAGTTCTTCCTCCCAAGCTAATTTTATTTAATGCAAAATACAACAAAATCAAGAGTAGAGGAATCAAAGCAAATACATTCAAAGTAAGTATTTTATACTATGACTGAACACAGTCAGTTTTATATAGCCAGTGATAATAAAGGAAAGAGAAAATCTGGTCTAGAATTTGGTTTTACATTTTAAGACTATTTTAATTTAATAAATGAATTATTTACATAGTAAGCAGCCATACTGTTGGGTTCTTTCTAATTTTTGCCTGCACCTTACAAAATTATATAACCTTTATCTTGTTGCATGGACTAATTCATATCCCCATCTTTTTTAATTGTTTACACAGCAAATATTTATTTATATAGACATGGTTCACACCCTCATGGCACCAAGACTGTTCAAAACCTCAAAATGGGAGTTTTCCTGTCTTTTTCTTTAAATGTTAATTTACCAATGCCAGAAAAATTAAGTTCTTGAAGTAAAACACTGAATTTTACTTTTAATACTTAATGTGTTAGCCCATAAAATTCTGTAGTTAGCCTTTCTTTTGAATTCCATTTATGGCACCTAAAACAAAATTGTGTAGTGAAAATTAAATACATTTCTTAATTTAGTAATTCAGTAAAATATATGTATAGGAAAAGGGAAGGTGATCTATTGTGATTTAGATAGCCAACTTGTCTCTAAATGCACAAGAAGTAATCACCTCAGCTCAGTATTACTCATAATTCTGATACACGCATTCTAGTCCTGAAAGGACCCCAGATAAAAAGATGAGTAATCATGCTATTATTGGCAATAGATAACCTCATTCAAAAGGAAGATTCATAATGGTGATGATAAAAACCTAAAAATATCAAATATTCATTATTATAAAGTTTATGGTCATCACACGATGTACAATCTGTCCATAAACATACAATGTGTCAGAAAATGCAAAAATATTCCACTTTTCTTTTTTAAAATATATTTTATTGATTATGCCATTACAGTTGTCCTATTTCCCCCCTTCATTCCCCTCCACCCTGCACAACCCTCCCCCACCATTCTACCTTTTAGTTTATGACCACGTGTCTCAAGTCCTTTGGATTCTATATTTCCCATACTATTCTTGCCCTCCCCATCTATTTTCTATCTACCATCTATGCCACTTATTTTCTGTACCTTCTCCCCCCTTCTCCTCCCACTCCCCTGTTGCTAACCTTCCATGTGATCTTCATTTCTATGGTTTGCTCCTGAGCTAGCTGTCCTCATAGTGTGCTTTTGTTTTAGGTGTGGTTCTTAATAACTGTGAGTTTGCTGTCCTTTCACTGTTCGTCTTTTTTATCTTCTTTTTCTTAGGTAAGTCCCTTTAACATTTCATATAATAAGGGCTTGGTGATGATGAACTCCTTGAATTTGACCTTATCTGAGAAGCACTTTATCTGTCCTTCCCTTCTAAATGAAAGCTTTGCTGGATAGAGCAATCTTGGTTGTAGGTCTTTGGATTTCATGACTTGGAATACTTCTTTCCAGCCCCTTCTTGCCTGTAAGGTTTCTTTTAAGAAATCAGCTGACAGTCTGATAGGAACTCCTTTGTAGGTGACTGTCCCCTTATCTCTTGCTGCTTCTAGGGTTCTCTCCATTTTAATCTTGGCTAAAGTAATTATGTGCCTTGGTGTGTTCCTCCTGGGGTCCAACTTCTTTGGGACTCTCTGTGCTTCCTGGATTTTCTGGCAATTGCCTTTGCCAGATTGGGGAAGTTCTCTTTTATTATTTGTTCAAATAATATTTCCACTTGTTGATCTTCCTCTTCCCCTTCTGGTACCCCTATAATTCGGATGTTGGAATGTTTAAAGATGTCCTGAAGATTCCTAAGCCTCTCCTCATTTTCTTGAATTCTTGTTTCTTCATATTTTTCTGTTTGGTCATTTTTTTCTTCCTTCTGGTCCATTCCATTGATTTGAGTCCCGGTTTCCTTTCCATCACTATTGGTTTCCTGTGCATTTCCCTTCATTTCAATTAGTTTAGCCTTTATATGTTCCTCTAATTTGCAGCTAAAATCAACCAGTTCTATGAGCACCCTGATCACCAGTGTTTTGAACTCTGCCTCTGATAGGTTGGCAATTTCTTGTTTGCTTAGATTTATGGGCTCTGGGGCTCTAAGTTCTTCTTCAGCCATGTTTTGATCTGTTTGCGCCTGTTACATATGAGGAGCAGAGCCTTAAGTGTTCACCAGGGCGGGGCCACCTAGGTTGCTGGATTGTGATGCTGTATGTGGGGGCGGGGTCAGAGAGGGAGCAATATCAGTCCCCTCTGGTGCTTCTGGCTGCTGGGGCCTACTCAGTCTGTCTCACTGCTCGCTCCTTTGCTGGTTTATCTGCGCACAAATATGTGACCGCTGTCAGCAAGCCGCCTTGGGACTTCACTGGGTCTGCCTGTTGCTACCCCCACATCGGGGTCTGCCCTTGGCTGCCTGCCCGCCTGCGTAGGGGGATCTTTTTTGCCCGACCCACTCAGCTGCTGGCTCCGCCCCTCTTACCAGTCTGGCTGAGTGTTTTGTTACTGTCGGACTCCTGTTTTGTTCAATTTTCTGTGGTTTGGCTGCGTTTTTTGTTGCTAAAACTTTGTTGTTTTTAGACTTGGTTGTGTGAGAAGGCACAGTGTTTCCATCTACGCCTCCATCTTGGCAGAAGTCCCCCCATTTTTCTTTTCTGTGTACATTTAAGGAACCCTCCTTCAAATTTAAGGGACATTCTAGACATACATCCAAGTTGTGCAAAATTCAAGGGCCTTAGGAGGCCTTTAAAAACTAAACTCACTTAAAAAATACATAAAACAAAAGCCCTGTAATTTGAAAATCTATAATTCAAGCTGATAAGCCTTTGAGTAACTGGCATATTAAAGACCTATAGAAGATGATCAACATTTCACAAAAGGAATGTTTGAATATTTTGGATTTTACACATGCATTACAGAAGGGATTCATGACAAGTTGGCATGGAAACAATAAATTCAGGCACTTTCCAGTTTTGCACTTATGCTGCAAAAGCCACTGGTAAAGTCAAATTACTCTAACCCATGTAAAAAGGCCTACTGGGGAAGATATAAATTTGGGACCCCATATGGTGAATGTTTAAGAAAGGATTAACATACAAGCAAGTTAATCCTAAAAAAATATTAGCAAATTCTGCTACAGGATGCACATCAAATATAAGGAAGAAGGTTAATGTCAGGGGAAAGTACATACTGAAATCATATTATAAAATATTATATAACAATAGCTACTGATCATGAAGAGTAATCCAACATCTAACCCTTAGGTGAAAAAATTTCTACCTAAAATATGTTTAATAATTGTTTTGAGACACATCTTACTAAAAAAGCATATATATATATATATATATATATATATATATATATATATATATATGCTTCAATCCTGCACAGGGACCTTAATAGACACTCCTAGGACAAACTGAATGGGGTTGCAGGTGCTGGCATAAGGGCTCAACCAGGCATAGCTGGGTATTCAGAGATCATATAAGTGGACAGAAATGTGGGGATGCAGCAGGGCTCTTCCACCCTTCCCAAAGGACCAAAATATACCATTTGTGAAACAAAAGCCAAAAAATTCCCAAAGCCCAAATACTATCATAGCAAAGATAAATAGTATAGATGACTCTGAATCAGTATCTATATGTATATACATGTATATATATATGTACTTGTGTAATTTGAATCCTGTGAAGAAATGCAGTGACCTCACTGAAGAAAAAGTGCCTTTTCCTTACAGAAACTGAGTAACCTGTCCTTCCTCTATTTGGACCACAATGCACTGGAATCTGTGCCTCTTAATTTACCAGAAAGTCTACGTGTAATTCATCTTCAGGTATGAACTATTTCTTTCACAATATCTGACTTTAATTTAAATCACTAAGGGTCAATTTAGGAAACTCACATTTACAGGTAAATTTTGCCTATCGAAAAGTAGTAATAGTGAGCCCAATGCATTCTCCTGCCCAAGCCCCAGTTCTGTCCAGGACACAATGAAAAGACCAGAACCACTAGTTCTGAGATCTGCTCTCAGAGTGCTTTTTATCTCCAGCTGTGCAGTTAGTATCTCCTAGTTAATCAGGCCCATGGATTTGAAGTTAGGGACACTAAAAACCTGTGCTTTATGTTTCTTTTGTCCAAATAACAGTAGATTTTTCCTTCTGAAGACTTTCCAACTGATTTTATTGTCCAACATCAACTTGAGGTAAAGGAAAGTGAGCAGGGAATAAAAAACTAAAATTGATCTTTCAGCATACAGAAATTGTTATTTGTTTTATTAAACTTCTTTAAAGAATATTTAAGGACACAGTAGCATTCTGAGTTCAAACTAGACTAGGATACTTTTTCCAGCTACTATAATAGCAAGTAGTCTGGTCTTCCAAAGGCATGCTAGAGATTTAAAAATAAAAAGGCTGTGCCCCAGACAGTATAGCTCAGTTGGCTGGATTCCCAATCAGGGTACATGCCTGAGCTGCAGGTTGGGTCCCAGGTCCAGGTATGGTATGGAAGGAAGCCAATCGAAGTTTTCCTCCCTCTCTCTAAATAAAAAATCTTAATAAAAATGTTCAGATTGCACACAGAGGATGTTATTACCATGAGGATATACAGTATGTATTGTACAATAGTTTAAAAAATCACTCTTTAGAGCCGAGACAAAAAAAAAAAATGGCCCAAATGAAAGAACAGATCAAAGCTCCAGAAAAAATACTACTAAGCAATAAAGAGATAGCCAACCTATCAGATACATAGTTCAAAACACTGGTAAGCAAGCTGCTCACAACACTGGTTGAATATGGTTGTAAATTAGATGAAAAAAGGAAGGCTATGCAAAGTGAAATAAAGAAAAATGTACAGGGAACCAATAGTGATGGAAAGGAAACTAGGACTCAAATCACTGGTGTGAACCAGATGGAAGAAAGAAACATCCAAACAGAAAAGAATGAAGAAACAAGAATAAAAAAAGTGAGGAGAGGCTTAGGAACCAACAGGACATCTTTAAATGTCCCAAAATCTGAATTATAGGGATACCAGAAGGAAAAGAGGAAGAACAAAAAATTGAAAACTTATTTGAACAAATAATAAAGGAGAACTTCCCCAATAAGGCAAAGAAAATAGACTTCCAGGAAGTCCAGGAAGCTCAGAGAGTCCCAAAGAAGGTGGACCCAAGGAGAAACACACCAAGTTACACCATAATAACAGTACCCAAGATTAAAATGAAGGAGAGACTCTTAGAAGCAGCAAGAGATAAAGGGACAGTCACCTACAAAGAAGTTTCCATCAGACTGTCAGCTGATTTCTCAAAAGACACCTTACAGGCAAGAAGGGGCTGGAAAGAAGTATTCCAAGTCATGAAATCCAAAGACCTACATCCAAAGACTGCTCTATCCAGCAAAGCTTTCATTTAGAAGGGAAGGGCAGATAAAATGCTTCTCAGATAAGGTCAAGTTCAAGGAGTTCATCATTACCAAGCCCTTATTATATGAAATGTTAAAGGGACTTATCTAAGAAAAACGAGTTAAAAAATATGAACAGTGAAATGGCAACAAATTCACAATGATTAACAACCAAACCTAAAACAAAAACAAACTAAGCAGACAACTTAGAACAGGAACAGAATCACAGAAATGGAGTTCACATAGAGGGTTATCAGCAGGGTTGTGGGAGGGAGAGAATAGGGGAAAAGGTACAGAAAATAAGTAGCATAGCTGGTAGGTAGAAAACAGACAGGGGAAAGTTAAGAATAGTATAGGAAGTGTAGAAGCCAAAGAACTTACATGTATGACCCATAGACATGAACTAAGATTTTAGGTAAACAAAAATAAAAATAAAAATAAAAATCACTCTTAGATAAAATACTTTTAGATCCCATTACACAGCATACAAAACATTGATTTCAGACATCTGAACACTTTTTCCCTTTTATTTTACAGTTTAACAACATAACTTCGGTTACAGATGACACATTCTGCAAGGCTAATGACACCCGTTATATTCGGAACCTCATTGAAGAGATACGCTTGGAAGGAAATCCCATCATCCTGGGAAAGTATCCGAACAGTTTTATCTGCTTAAAAAGATTACCTGTAGGGTCATACTTTTAACCAGTATCAATCAATGCACCACATTAACTACAGTCCAAATGTACTTATAATCTGTCTTAACAATGTCTAAAGGAGCATTAATGTCTGATAAATGGTAGATTTGTTTCCCAATATGAAGAAATTTTATGTTTTCAGCAAATATATTCAAACGCTTACATATAACAAGTAAAAAGTAAGAGTAAATCTCTAAGTTCAAAACAAATTTTGTGAAAATATTTAAGCAGCAAAACAAAATCCTTATAGTTTATAGTAGAATGCTATTTTAAAAAGGTTATGTTTTATGTAAATATCTCAATTTGAGAAGCATTATTTCTATTACTAATGAAGTGAGAGAAGTTCAAGAAACTTTCAACCTTTTGTCTTTTCTAGACTTTACTGGATCCCTAAAGCATTTAAGATTGACGCTTCAAAACCTCTGAAAAGCTAAATATGTCCAGTGCTTTCCCATTTTTCTCTTATGATTCATACACTACTCATAATGAAGTAGAAACTCTTTTCTTTCTGTTAAGACTGCTATTATCTTTTTACTTAGCCTGAGAAATAGGATATAGTCACATACTTAAGCAAAACTTTTCAAATAAAGCATAATTTACTCTCTGATAAAGAGTTAATAATGTTCGACGTTATTCTGTTTTGCAGTCAGGCAGTTAAAGGTTTTACATTAGTATGAACTTCTCTTTTTTCTAAATATTAACATTCTAAATCCAGTATAAAACATTTTAAGAAGTCAAGCCAAAAATCAGCATGCTTATATTTAAAAAAAAAATGAAAGTCCACCCCATTTCTCAGAAAACAGCGATAATGTTCTCTATTGTAAAGGCCTGCAAATATGATAAATACTGTAAAATATTTTCATGTTACACTACAGGAATGAAAATCGTATTGATAAATCTGCCCAAATGTAAGACACAAAAACAAAATGAGTGGTATTATACAAACGCTGCCACCCATCCCTACACATCCATGTTTATGCCAACAGACTACATATGCACAAGAAAACTTCTGGGCAGCATTTTCTAAAGATCCATAATTAACCAATACATTTAATGGTGAGCATTCATCTTCAATCATATAGTGAAGATTTAGAATGACACAATGCTGCCAGATTAAACTTCCTAAAAGAACTTTTCACTTCTCCATACCTCACTCAAAAGCCTAGTCTGCATATTACTTTGGGATTACATACAAAATTATCAGTCCTTTAGAAACATAAATTTGAACTATGTATATAAAAATTACCAACATTGTTTCCAACATAAACTACACATTAGAATCAAGTTGGTCTCCATATATTATTCCCAGGACAAATACTTATTTCTTTTTTTAAGCATTTGCTTACTTGTTTTCCCTACCAAGAATGGCCTTTTTTCTTCAATTTTTCTCCAATTTGTCAAAGGTTGGCCCCCCGCAGAGAACTCTAGGCTGACGCCACTAGGGTCGGGAAGTGCTAGGGCCGGCGCGGTCCCGGGAAGTGCGCGGACCCGGGAAGTGCCCGGGACCGGCGCGGACCCGTGCCTGGGCCGGCGCGGACCGGCGCGGACCCGGGAAGTGCCCGGGACCGGCGCGGACCCGTGCCCGGGCCGGCGCGGACCGGCGCGGACCCGGGAAGTGCCCGGGACCGGCGCGGACCCGTGCCCGGGCCAGCGCGGACCGGCGCAGACCCAGGAAGTGCCCGGGACCAGCGCGGGCCGGCGCGGACCCGGGAAGTGCCCGGGCCCGGCGCGGTCCCGGGAGGCGCTGGTTGCACAGTCCCGGACAGCCCGGGAGTGTGCCCGGCAAGTGCGCAGGCACCCACACCCCAATCCGGTAGCCTGGCCAGTGCGCGCGGCGGGTGCACAGGCGCCCACACCCCAAGCTGGTAGCCCGGCTGATGCGCGCACTTGCGCCGGCATCCCAGCACACAGGGAGATCCTGCTACAACCGGTTTGGCTAGTTTGAAGCCAACAAGAGACATTCCTTTTTCTGAGGCTGTGTTTGAGAGATTATTTTGGTGCTTTTTTTTTTTTTTTTTACTTTATTTTATTTTTAGTCTTTCTTTTTTTATTTACCTTTCTCCCCTCTCCATTCCTTTTCTTTATCTTTTTGCTTTTTTAAAGTAATCTGTTATTTCTTTTAAACTTTATTACTGTTTCATCTTTCCATACTTTTGTCCTCTTTTCCCGGATTTTCTGTTTTATTTCTTTTTCTTTTCTTTCTAAACTTACTGCTATTTATTCCATTCCTCTACCATTTTTTTCTCTCTTCCTTTTATTTCTTCCCTTATCATTTCTTTTACCCACAAGAGTCACAATCAACTTGAAAATATAAAAAGACCAGAGCTGGACCCATAGAAGAGGCCTCCCAATAGTAGAATCAGAGAGACAAATTGCACATTGTTGTAGGAGAGAAGCCACAAGTTGCTGCATATTTGAGTAGGTGGAAGCAGAGAACAACAGGATAACCAAAAGAGGCTGCACCATTGAAATTCACAGGCATTCCACCACAAGTTCATACCATAAACCCAGGGTGTCAAAACAGATTAATCTAAGAAGCTGAGGCTAACAAGAAGAGTCTCACAAACAATGGGAAGACAAAGAAACAATCCCCAAATGAAAGGAAAGGAGGAAGCCTCAGAAAGAATGTTAGATGAAACAGAGGCAAGTCAACTATCAGATACTGAATTCAAAGCACTGGTGGTCAGGAAGTTCAAAGAGCTCACAATCAGCTGCCAGAAACTACAGGGAAGTTACAATGATCTCACTGTGAACTATATCAACATGAAAAAGGAAATGGAAATTATTAGCAAGGGCCAAGAGGAAATGAAGAATACAATTTCTGAATTAAAAAACACAGTGGAAAGCATTAAAAATAGGGTGGATGAAACAGAAGATCGGATTAGTGAATTGGAGGACAAAGTAGAAAGCATCTCACAGAAAGAACAGGAAAGGGAAAAGAGGCTCAGAAAGAATGAAGAGAGATTAAGAGAAATGCAAGACAATATGAAACGTAATAATATCCGAATAATAGGAATACCAGAAGGAGAAGAAGAAGAACAAGGGATAGAAAACATATTTGAAAGAGTAAAGAAAGAAAATTTCCCTAATTTGACAAAAGAAAAAGTCACACAAATCCAGGAATCTCACAGAGTCCCATTCAAGAGGAACCCAAAGAGGCCCACTTCAAGACACATCATCATTAAAATGGCAAACTTCCAAGACAAAGAGAGAATCTTAAAGGCAGCAAGGGAGAAAAAAGAAATAACATACAAGGGCATCCCAATAAGGTTAGCCACTGACTTCTCAATGGAAACACTCCAAGCAAGAAGAGATTGGCAAGAAATATTCCAAGTAATGAGAACCAGAGGCCTACAACCAAGGCTACTTTACCCAGCAAGGCTCTCAATCAAGATAGAAGGCCAAATAAAGAGCTTCCAAGACAAAAGAAGTCTAAAAGAATTTGCTGCCACCAAGCCAGCTCTACAAGAAATACTAAAAGGTCTGCTCTAAGGAAAGGAAGGAAAAGAGACAGACAGAGAGGAACACAGATACAAAAATGGCAATGAATAAGTACCTATCAATAATAACCTTAAATGTAAATGGATTAAATGCTCCAATCAAAAGACACAGAATAGCGTCATGGATAAGAAAGTATGATCCACACATATGCTGCCTACAAGAGACCCACCTCAGGACAAAAGACCATCACAGACTAAAAATCAAAGGCTGGAAACAAATTTTCCAAGCAAACGGACAAGAAAAAAAAGCCGGGGTAGCAATTCTCATATCAGACAAAATAGACTTCAAAAAAAGAGCCATTAAGAGTGACCCAGAAGGTCACTTCATAATACTCAAGGGAAAAATCCACCAAGAAGACATTAACATCATAAATATATATGCACCCAACATAGGAGCACCAAAATATATAAGGAAAATCTTAGAGGAATTCAAGAAAGATATAGACAGCAACACAATTATAGTGGGGGATTTTAACACCCCACTATCAAAAATGGACAGATCTTCCAAACAAAATATCAACAAAGACATTGTGGCATTAAACAACACCCTTGATGAAATGGACCTAACTGATATATACAGAGCTCTTCACCCCAAAGAAGCTAAATACACATTCTTTTCAAATGCACATGGAACATTCTCAAAGATAGATCACATGATAGGGCACAAAACAAGCCTCAACAAATTCAAGAATATTGAAATCATACCAAGCATTTTCTCTGACCATAAGGGACTGAAACTGGAAACCAACCCCAAAGGAAAAAACCCAAAACACCCAAAATCATGGAGACTGAACAGTATGCTATTAAACAATGAATGGGTCAAGAATGAAATTAGGGAAGAAATCAAAAAGTTTCTGGAAACAAATGAAAATGATCTCACAACAACCCAAAACTTATGGGATACAGCCAAGGCAGTCCTGAGAGGGAAGTTTATAGCAATACAGGCCTACCTTAAGAAAACAGAAACATTTCAAACAAATGAACTTACTCTACGCCTGCAAGAACTCGAGGAACAACAACAAAAACAGCCCAAAGCAAGTAGAAGGAAGGAAATAACTAAGATCAGAGCAGAACTAAATGACATAGAGACTAAAAGTACAATTCTAAAGATCAATGAATCCAGGAGTTGGTTCTTTGAAAAAATAAACAAAATAGACAAGCCTTTAAGTAGGCTCATCAAGAAAAGAAGGGAACGGACACAAATAAACACAATCAGAAATGAAAGAGGAGAGATTACAACTGATACCACAGAAATAGAGAGGATTGTAAGAAATTACTATGAAGAACTGTATGCCAAGAAATTTGAGAACCTAGGGGAAATGGACACATTTCTAGAAAAATATAATCTCCCAAAACTCAATGAAAAAGAAGTAGAACACCTGAATAGACCAATAACAGCAAAAGAAATTGAAGCAGTAATCAAAAAACTCCCATCACACAAAAGCCCTGGACCAGATGGATTCACAGGAGAATTCTACAAAGCATTTAAGGAAGACCTAACCCCCATTCTTCACAGACTATTCCAAAAAATACAAAAGGATGGAAAACTCCCTAACTCCTTTTATGAAGCCAGCATCATCCTAATTCCAAAACCAGATAGAGATACAACAAAGAAAGAAAACTACAGGCCAATATCGCTGATGAACATAGACGCTAAAATCCTCAACAAAATATTAGCAAATCGCATCCAACAATATATCCAAAAGATTATACACCCTGACCAAGTGGGATTCATCCCAGGGATGCAAGGATGGTTCAACATTCGCAAAACAGTAAATGTAATTCATCACATAAACAAAAGCAAAGACAAAAACCACATGATCATATCAATAGACGCAGAAAAAGCTTTCGATAAGGTACAACACCCATTTATGATAAAAACACTCAGCAAAATGGGAATAGAGGGAACATTCCTCAATATAATAAAGGCCATTTATGAGAAACCTACAGCCAATATCATACTCAATGGACAAAAACTAAAAGCTTTTCCACTAAGATCAGGAACAAGACAAGGATGTCCACTTTCACCACTCCTATTCAATATAGTATTAGAAGTTTTGGCCACAGCGATCAGGCAAGAAAAGGAAATAAAAGGCATCCAAATAGGAAAG